GCAGCATCAAGAAAGTCTTGCTTAACTACACAAAAGAAAAAGTGCCGCAGATGTTTTCCCTTGCTTTATATACTTCCGGTGTTCAAAATAGTTCAATACTATAAAATAATCCAGGTTACTTGCGATAAGACTAAGCAAAAAGAAAATACATCATTGATCTGTTTTCCTTTTTTCAACTATCTTTATGTTTAGCTTTACGTCGTACAGGATAACAAATGAATTAGTTGGAAAACAACTAACTCGACAAACAGCAAACTGCTTGTCTGATTGTCTCCTTTATTGCTTGTTTTACTCCACCAACCTTCCAGTAGTAAAGAAACGGGTTTAACGACGAGTTAAGGTAAACCAAAGTCTTTGCAAGTTCCCAAGCGAGAAAACTGGATGGCGATAGCTTACCATTATCAATCGTAGCTCTTACTATACCATATGGTAGATAACAAGCAAATAATGCTAACTGCACCCATAGTGCACTGGACACTGCCTTCTTGTATCGCGCTATGTTCAGTGAAATTGCTTGGCTCGGTTGTTGTCGGTCTTGCACTCGAGTTTGGTGTTGACGGAGTACAAGGAAAATCTTTGTGTAGGAGACGAACGAGGCTGCTACACAAAGCAATATACCTATAACGACAAACCAAAAGTTTATAACAGGACTTATGATGTCCGATGTAGCAGCAGCAAGAGAGACAACCCAAAAGATAACAACAATGACGGATGTTCGCTTCGAAGTTACCTTTTGTCTGTACCTCAGGCTCAGCAACAGGGCGAGAAGTCTGTCCACGCTTACTGCAGTAACTGTCAACAAAGACACTGCGGATAAAGTATAGCCTGCTATATTAGATGAGACTAATACATAGCGGCAAAGTGGATTCCATTCTTCGTAAACCAAGGAAATCAAATAGGTAACATAGAGAGGTTCTGTAATAAGACCAACACAGAGATCAGTTGTTGCCAGACAGCGAAGCAAGAGTTTGGANTCAACAGTCGAACTAATGTACTAAAACGTCCGGTGTTATTGTTTGGTAACGCAGCATCAAGAAAGTCTTGCTTAACTACACAAAAGAAAAAGTGCCGCAGATGTTTTCCCTTGCTTTATATACTTCCGGTGTTCAAAATAGTTCAATACTATAAAATAATCCAGGTTACTTGCGATAAGACTAAGCAAAAAGAAAATACATCATTGATCTGTTTTCCTTTTTTCAACTATCTTTATGTTTAGCTTTACGTCGTACAGGATAACAAATGAATTAGTTGGAAAACAACTAACTCGACAAACAGCAAACTGCTTGTCTGATTGTCTCCTTTATTGCTTGTTTTACTCCACCAACCTTCCAGTAGTAAAGAAACGGGTTTAACGACGAGTTAAGGTAAACCAAAGTCTTTGCAAGTTCCCAAGCGAGAAAACTGGATGGCGATAGCTTACCATTATCAATCGTAGCTCTTACTATACCATATGGTAGATAACAAGCAAATAATGCTAACTGCACCCATAGTGCACTGGACACTGCCTTCTTGTATCGCGCTATGTTCAGTGAAATTGCTTGGCTCGGTTGTTGTCGGTCTTGCACTCGAGTTTGGTGTTGACGGAGTACAAGGAAAATCTTTGTGTAGGAGACGAACGAAGTTGCTGCACAAAGCAATACCCCTATAGAGCCACACCAAAAGGTTATAAGGGGAGTTATAAGATACGATGCAGCAGCAGCAGAGGAAATAACCCAAAAGATTACTACAGTAACACGTGTTCGCTTCGAAGTTACCACTTGTCTGTAACTCAGGCCCAACAACAGGGCGAGAAGTCTGTCCATGCTTATTGCAGTCACTGTCAACAAAGACACTGCGGATAAACTATAACCTACTATATTAGATGAGATTAAAGCGTAGCGACAAAGTGGATCTCTTTCTTCGGAAACCAGCGATAGCAAATAGGTAACATAGAGAGGTTCTGTAAAAAGACCAACACAGAGATCAGTTGTTGCCAGACAGCGAAGCAAGAGTTTGGACGGCGGATGAAGCGAAGAGTCCTTTTGAAGGGCGACTAGGATCAGAGTATTCCCAACGAATGCAGTAATGGATAGAAAAATGTTGAATGTTGTAAAATATATGAATAAGCCATCAGCAAAGTAAGTCGAACATCCCAGTGGTTCGACAGGTTGAGAGTGTTTCTCACTTTCAGTAAAGTTTGCTTTCGCCATTATTCTACGATATGGTTACCTGCAGTTTTAATGACAGATGTTTCCCCCAAG